TCCATTTCTGAAGAAGGGTCTAGACCCGAAACGTCAGCCTTCCTGCTCCTCTGATGCTGCTTGGCCTGCTGTGTTCGTCCATCTCTACACCTTGTTATCTCAGATTCTCCAGCATCTGCAGTTCCTACTATTGCTGTCGGATTTAAAGTATGGTTCTGCATTCCTGATGTAGCCCTGATCAGAATCTTCTGTCAGAAATGTGGAGCTCTTTCTTTATATTATAAAGAAAGAGTGGTGTGGCATTCTGAGTGTGATTGCCATTCCCTGGAAAGTTCTTTAAACATTTACCAACACTATGTTTAGGTCATCTTTTACCAAGGTACCCATTGTCATTAGTCATTTTAAACAAACATTCAAGATTGTTATGAATGTTTTAGTTTACATTAACTTAGTTTCTTTACATTGTCAGAAGTTATATCCGTCTACCTTGTATCACAATTAATTCAATAGCTGTATTGTTTCAACTATGGATAGATAGACCAAAGTGAAAATAAATTCAAATTCATGAGAAATCTTTGTAATATTTATTTTCAAGGGGGAACCTAACGGTGACATTTTTCTCAGTTGCACTATGATTGCTTCTTAATAATCATTAATTTAAAAAAAATCAATATTGAATCTGGAATGAATTATTTAGCATGTGCGACACAAATGTTCATACTGTTCCATTGATTTAAAAGCAAAACGCTAGTCTGCTGTCACCAAATATTCCATTCCAGGACCTCACCATTATTCTTTCATCTATCCCTTAAAGAATGTAAGAAACATGTCATTTAAAAATAAACTCACTTCATAAACATGCTGAACCACTGGTCCAATGTGCTCCTCTTTCTTAGGTCTTTCTTTAATCTTCCAGTCAGTGATGGGTAGAAAGATTTGCTCAGGATGGGACACCCTATGACAAGAATGCAGTGGCTCAATTGTTGTGGTCAGGCTACAGAGGTCCTACTCAGTTGTACTTTTTAAAGCAACATAAGGAAAAAAATTAAAGCATGTGAGACACAAAAGGGAATAATGTATACTAGATGGATACTTAAAATACAAGAGGTCAAATACAATGACAAAGTCAGATGAACTGCAACTGGGATCTTTAGAAGGAAGTAGACAGCATCACAAGTGATGTTCCATTAAAAAAAAGTTTTTTTTCCATTAAATGAAAAGCAATTTATAGATGAAAACTGTTGGGAGAATATTAAATGAAGACTAACCAGATGGAGTAAACATATTTGCCTTCCATATATCTTCAGAAAGCAAATCAAACAATTTACCTAAAGGAATAATGCTTTCCCTTGTTCTTAAACAGTAACCAAAACTATATTTAGTTCAGTTTTCATAAAATCACCCATGGTCAGTTTAAACAAAGCTTCCAGACTGTTATGAAAGCTTTGTTTCTCTTTCTGGTTTCAATGACACACCATGAATTATGCTTTTTTTGATCATTTCAAAGTTCCCAGCTAATAAACACTCTGGTTGTATGTGTGGGTGGAATCCCTGACGTATATCTTTCCTGTTGAAGTGACAGCAATGCATTCCCAGCTATTCAGGCCTGCAGACATGGCATGATGTGAAGTTCTTTTCCTTTGTTATTTCCTCATCTTTAGCTTCAGCCTCTCCTCAAACTTAATGGTGGTCACTAATTTTGGTGTAGCAGTGTGCTTTTTTTTTAAATACACCAAGTTCACAGAGAACTTGTTTTGAGAACTCCTGGTCTGACTTTATAAAGCTCATAACGTTGTTACATTACCAATTCTGGAGCAATAAATTTATGACATTACACAAACCTCTATGTTTTTAAAATGATTGCAGTAATGTTATAAAATCCTCAAATGTCTATCAGAAAAAGCCTGATAGGAGAAGTGAGGTCAGGGTGTGGGAAGTACTGAGTGAAATTACAGTTGACGTACTAAGTTACTGCAGACATGAATGCACAGCAGGAACATAAAACAAAAACATATTGCTATATGGTCATTTCCATAGAAGCTAAAGGATGTTCCATTTCAACTGTGTGGTACTCTTGTCGGATAGCACTTTGAGAGCTATTTTTGTCACCAACTGTTCTCAGAATTTCAATGTCTTAAGTTGAATATCAAGATTATGGAAGTACCAAAGAAAAGCCAAAAACCTGAGGCCTGGTGTCCAAGGCTTGAGATGTGGGGAGTGACAATGCTTTACTTCAGAAAGTCAGTGAGTGAATGACAGAACTGGAACAGAATTTCAATAAGCATTTATTTATGGGGGTATACATTGAAAATATGGACATCCTAGCCCACCAATCACTGTTTTGGTCTATTCCTTTTTATAGGGACAAGGTGAGCCCACAATTAATGCCCATTACATGCATCCAATTAGATATATTAATATAATTAACAGATTCCCTATCCCCTCTTCAGACAAAGACAAACAATCTGTATCGACCACGAATGTAAATAAACTCAAAGATATCCACATTCTGTACAAAGCATTACATAAAGATACATTCCTCCTGCAGGATCCCTAATAATTTATTTGCACATGCACTTCTTTTTGTAAAACAGACAACTGATAAGTTGAGTCCATCTATGCAATTTTGGAGATTTCCTTTCACTCCAATACTTGTTTCAAACCAACAAGACCAATTCATACCCTTTTCTCATTTGCAATTTTGCACAGTTTGTTGTCCTGCAAAGGATGATCATTTACACAACATTCAAGATGCAAATAACATTTAGTGTGCCTGCTGGGTAATGTATCACTTGGTAAACAGAGTTCAATATCCACTGACAACACAAAAGCCAGAATTTCAGCAGCTATAGTATTTTTAACAACCTTTTTTATGTCTTACCTTCCCAACCTTAAGGACAACATTTTTCATTCCTAGCCAACAGAAAAATTATGAAACCAACTGCACTGGAGTTCCCATCACGAAAATGAGGGTGAGAAGCATTGCTAAATAAAAGGCCAGCTTCATAGACATGCAAGTACCCAGCTCTGGGAATTCCATCTTTGGATATGATACTTTAGTGTCATGATCACCTATCTTCACATTATTGAGCCCTTGCTATATTGCATTCCATTCCTCAGAGCCTTTGATCACAAAATATGAACATTTGAGATATTTCTCTTGGCTGTTCACGGTGTGATATTTTGCAATTAATCATGGATTTTTGTTCTCAAAGCAGATCAGTTCCTGATCCCACAATCTGACTCTTGCCAGTGATCACCCATGCTATTTTTATGGTAGGATAGCAAGGATGGGCTGGAATTTGGCTGGAATCTGGCCTAAAATGGGAATTCAGAGGATGGATGCCAAAACAGGCAGGTTGGAAGACCTACCTTTGTTCAGTAGGTGAGTATTAGGGCACCCCAATCTCATCTTTTGGCAAGATTCATGACTCCTCAGATATTGCAACAATCACACATAGCAAGAACTAGACTACATTCAGACAACATTTGGAATCATAAATAACACTCACGTCACACTCCTGTGCCAGACAATGATCATCTCCAACAAATGTGACTAGTTTAGTTTGGGAAACTTGATCAGCATGGACAAGTTGGATTGAAGGTACTGTTTCTGTTGCTGTATGATTCTATGACTCTAAGAGAGAACTTGACTATCACTTATTGACCATTGCTGAATCCCTGGCTATCAACGTCCTGGGGGTTATCACTGGCCAGAAACTGAATTGAACCGAAGAGATAAATTTTGTAGCTACAAGAGTGAGTTAGAATTTAGGAATTCTATGGCAAGCAACCCACCTCTTGACTCCTCAATGACACCATCTACAAGTTTCAAGTCAGGAGTGTGATTGAATACACTTCACTAGCCTGGATAAGTGCAGTTACAATAACATTCAGGAAGCGTGACACCATCCAGGACAAAACAGCCTGCTTATTTGGCACTGCATCCATCATCTTAAACATTCACTCCCTCAATCATTGACACACATTGGTAATAGTGTGCACCATTGTGAAAAATGCATGGCAACATCTCACCACAACTCTTTTCACAGCATCTTCCGCTTACAAGGACAAGGACAGCAGGTACATGGGAGCACCACAACTTGCAAATTCATCTCCAAGCCACACACCACCCTCATTGGAACTATATCATTGTTCCTTCACTGTTGCTTAGTCAAAATTGTTGAATTCCCTTCCCAATTACACTGTTGGTGTACCAAAACAGGCAACGGTTCAAGAAGGCAGCTCACCAACACTTCCTGCAGGGAATTTAAGGACAGTCAATAAATTTTGGTCTAGCCAGCAAAACCCACTTCCAGGGAATGAATAAAATAACATCATTACATTATGAATAGTGAAGTTATCAGCAGCTTTTGAACTTAACTGTCAAAGGATTCCTGACTTCAGACTGGGAAACTCAATGTTCACAAATCTTTGAGGTGTGGTAACGCTTGTCTCCTGACAAAACAGGCCCAACTCTATGGAAATAGTGGAGGTGATAAGGGTGGGGGGGCTCTAAAATGCCCACTACCACAAAGTAATTGGCAAGGGCATAATTTCTCCACATGTAGACTCACTACCCACATCCTTATCCCAGGGCCGTAAAAATCCCGCAACATGGAAATACTTGCGGGAATCCTGGGATGAGGTCACATCCATCATTCTTAAATTCCCCGCTAAACAACACGAGCAAAAACATGAAAACACAGCCTTAGAAATTACCTTTTACCTCACTAGGGACTTTCAATCCTGAATCACCCGCACAGTACATGAAAACTTATAAATTGAATTCTCCCTCAGATAGTCTTAGCATTTTGAGTGTTTGAGATTTTTCTGCAAACTTAGCAAATGAAAGTCTCTCTCCCTGCATGTAAAACATTCACATTTGCAGAAAAAAAAACTAAGCAAGCTGCCATACCTTCTGACTTCTTAATTGGATACAGGCAATTTTTGATATTGGCCATAGATTAATTGATAAGAATTATATCCTCTACCTATTTGGCTTGAACTGTCTATATCAGGGCTGAGGGTCCGCTTGAAGTCTGGCTGATCAGCTTCTGATTGGTTGGAAATTATGAGTCAATTATGAGTGCACATTGAAGAAGATAGACACTTAGTGTAAGACTTTTCCAAGTAAGGGGAGGCAGGCTTTGGAACATGAAGCAAGTTAAATCTCTTAAATATTAATTATGAATCAGAATACTGACATCATCCCCCTCCTTTTCCAGGTTTCAACGAGGCACATTCTGAAGCAAGGGGGAACCTCTTTTGGATCTGTCAGGAAACCATTTCAGACACTTAACAAAGCTAATTAGAACCTGTCACAATACTCAGTTTTGGATTTCCTAGCCAGAGCTCCAGTTTCCCAATCATAACTTGCTAGTGACTGGCCAGGGTTCCTGTGAGTACACAATGGAAAGAGCTTCTTTGGTTATACTGAAGAGCTCCAGTGAGGTTCAGGTGAAAGGCTGCTACTCAAATCTTTTCCTCTCTCAGTCAGTGCTGTCACTGCCTGACAGGCAAATTCTTACCTCTTAAAAATCACTGGTCTAGCATTTCACTCAATGTCAGCTGCACTATGGCTTCATCATAGCTTGACAATAGCTTTATGTAGCTCCACCTTACACCTCTAATGAGGACCAGAAGAGAAGCAACACCCTCATCAAATGCTTCAGGAACAACAGGACCATCACTAGCTATCTTCTCCTTAGCCACCCACTGTTCTAAAATGCAGGGGGAACAAATACTGAAAACCAACTGGAAGGAGGCAGGACCCCCAAAAAGCAGCGTTTATGGGTGAGAATAAGCTTTCTCAAAATGTCTGAGTACAAATGTCTTGTCATGCTCAATATCACATGGCAGATGGTTGCTGACATCAGCAGATTTCTAGAACAGGATCTCCTTCACAGGATACAGCTGTGTCCACATTGCCAGAAACTGACACAGTACCTTTCACTGGTACAGTGTACACTCCATTGATCCCTCCTGTTCACCAAAGTTGTGTGGAGAGGAGTGAAGGCTCCTGTTTGTGAAGGGTGTCAGTGAGGCACAAGCACAAGAACACAACAGGCAGACAATGTGAGTACTGGCTGCTCAGATAAGGATGTGAGGTGTTTGCACAGTGAAGAAAGATTGGAGCTGAACAGCTTGTTTTGCCTGAGATTGGCCCGCCAGTTGTGCAGGAGTGGGTGATATTTTATTCATCTTTCCTACCCTCCTGAGGTCCTGGGTCCTCTTGATTGCCCCTCCATCCTGGGGACAACATCTTCTGCTCCTGCTTCATCCTTGGTCACTTCCATCCACATTTTCTTGTTTTGCAAGATTATCCTCATTCTCCTGACCTTGGGAGAATTCAACACATTGCATCCCCTCAGATCTTGCAGCAGGATCTCCAGCTCAGAATGAGACACATTGGAGACTTGCCAAGGTCTTTCTCAGGATTCATGTGGTTGTTTCAACCTCAATAATCCACATATTGGTTATTCCCGTGGTCACCTTAATTAGGAATCCTTCTATTGATGGAATGGATGCATCATTCCTGAGTGGCTGGTTGCTAATGCTGTGATGGACCTAATGGGTCTTGGCAAAGCCCAGCCCAGTGGTAAAGGGGGTCCCAACTGGTAAATAGTCCCATTGTTTGTCCAGGCGAATAAGTTGAGAACATTTCCCCCTCAGTCTCATTCTAATCATAATATCACAAGAATAGGCATTAACAATAATACATTACCAATAATACCAGTAACAAGAACTGGGCTTTTACTTGTTACAATCGCTCTGGGTCACTTCATAACCCAAGTCTTTTAAAAGCTATTTTCACTTTAACATGAAACCTGCACGGGATATATTACAATCCTAGATTTGAAGCAAAATCAAATAAGTAAGTGGTACACAAAGCTGATATTGCCCAAACTGGGTTGAAGCAAATTATTGGGATGCAATTTTGTTTAGAACAGAATGGGATGGGAAAACAATGGAACTATCCATAACAACGTAGCAATACTGTAATCAGATAAAGGGAAAGGAAGCTGTTAATTAAAGGCCAATACACTCTAGTGTAATCAATCATCACACTGAAACTGAAACAGTCCTACTCCTTTCATTGTTAAAGCAAGCTACCCGACATCCTGGACAAGTGACATCAGAACTCACTGAGAATGAACTTGAACAGAGATTTAAAACATGAATTAAAGAAAGAAAAATGATAGCAAGTAAACACTCTACATTGTTAATGTGATCTCTTCTGTCTCGAAACAAGTGGGAAAAGATTTCGTAATTAAAGTTTACATACAATACATCCCAAACTATTGCACAGGTGCATGCCTTGGGCTTTTTTTTATTTTTTAAAACTTAATACTTTCTGTGGCAGAACATTTATGGTTTTATAGCAAATTTGCACGAGGTACAGACATTGTGACATTCATGAATTTGGCAGGTGTCTATGTCCCGCTCTCAAAAGGCAAGTTAGCTCATTGTAACATATATTCAGGGGCACAGTCTCAGGATACGAAGTTGATCCTTTAGGCCTGAGCTGAAGAGACATTTCTTCATTCAAACAGTTGGGAATCTTTGGCGTTATATACTTCAGAGAGATTTGGATCATAAGGACATGGGAACAGGAATAGACCATTCAGCTCTTTGAATGTCACTATTCTCGACCACAGCTGATCATCTCCTGGTGCCAATTTTCCTGCATCCCTCAATGTCATTCGTCCCTAGAAACCTGATATCTATCTTGCTCAATGATTGAGCTTCCAAAGACCTCCATAGTACAGCATTCCAAAGATTGACCATCCTCTGCGTGAAGAAATTACTCCTCATCTCAATCTTAAATGGCTTATCCCTTACCCTAAGATTATATCCTCGTACTCACAGGACTCAGAAAACTCAGACATAAAGCAAAGACCGGAACAGCTAGCTCAAGTAGAGAAGTATCTTTTTGTTGCCTTGCTATATAAATGAGCCAGGAGGGGCAAAAGTAATATCCCAAATCTTACTGTCATAGTCAGCAAACACCCCCACCCCAAACAAATCCACGATTCTAGGACTTATGCACAACGACTTCTCCTTCCTGCTTGGCTAATGGACAACCCCATCCAAGCTCTAACTCCCCAAAGGTTGTTTTGAGGTCAGGCAGCATATGATCAGATGGAGAAGTATGAGGTGAAGGTCACCTTCCTACTTCACTCTGATTGGGCTTAGAATAAGAAGTCTTTAGAATGGCCTTGTCCATAGGCCAAATGAGAATCATAAGTGCCATTTAAGACGGACATGCAATAATATTTTGTTTGATTCATTCACAGGATGAGGGCATCACCAGCCAGGAAGTATTTATTGCCCATCCCTAATTGCCCAGAAGGCAGGTAAGTGTCAAATCTGAAGTCACATGTAGACCAGACTGGGTAAGGATGGCAGTTTCCTTCCCTAAAGGACATTAGCGAACCAGGCGGGTTTTTTCCGATAATCGACAATGGTCATCATTAGACTCTTAATTCCAGATACTTTTATTGAATTTAAATTCTGCATTTTGCCATGGTGGGATTTGAAAGTGGGTCCCCAGACATTATCTGGGTCTCTGGGCAATAATACCACTAGGCCATCGCCTCCCCACTATAGTGTAATTCATATTCCCAGGATATCTTAAAGCACCTCACAGTCAATATATTAGTTTTAATTATTGCTATTATGTAGTTAAATGCAGCAGCTAATTTGTGTTTGGTAAAAGAGTGTTCTGGAACCCTGCTTTTTTTTTTGCCTTTTTGCATTTTGGTGCTGTCTGCCAAAGTTAGAGTCATATTGCTTTTCTGCAATTTATGGTCATCTCATGCAAGGTTTAACCATGGGTGGAATCTACTCCTTCCGAGATGGTGGTGGGAGGCAAATGACATCGAGGAGATACCTGCCGTCTTCTTGCTACCACAGGAACTGGCCTTCCTATTCCAGCATCTTACCAAAGGCCTTCTGGAAGTTCAAGTCTACCCTATCTACTGAGTTGTCCTTGTACAGTCTTTCTGTTACTTCTTCAAATAATTCAGACAAAATAAGGCTAGTTAATTCAACAGTTGCCAATGTTAATGTAAACCCAAAATTTTAAAACATCTAATATTGGGGAATGTAATTAAAACAGTAGCACACTTATAGAAACGGAAATGTTACTATTTTAATTAATTCTTCAGTATTAAATATTTTCACAATATGTTAATGGTGATATTGGACAGCCAGCAAATAGGTAGTTCTCTCAAACTTGCTCTGTATGCACGCACAGCGAGAACAAGATAGGCTTTATCCAGTTTCCAAATAGGTGATGAGAGAAAGCATACATTACCCACGAACGTAGACCTGAGCAACTGCACTGACATTGATCGGCACATGTACGAGGTTGCTGCTTGAATTATCCTTATTTGAACTGAAATACAAGGCAGAAAATAAAACTCATTCAACAAGGGAAAATCTGTCTTTGAACTGCAGAAATCATAATTTGTGCATTCATTAAAATACATATGTTGCAGGAATTATACCTTGTATGAAATTTTTGTTGCTAATAAAACACAGAAAAAGTAAAACCTCAGACAGTTAACTGTCAGTTGATTAAGTGCTTTTCATCAAATAAATATTTATAAAATAATGCGTTAAGAAGCAAAATAACATTACAAATCACTTGTATTTATTCAGGCAGAGGAAGAAAAACAATGACAGACTTCAACGTAACTCCCTTGTATCCTTAAAAGGAACATCAGACCATATTTCATGACAGATGGACTAAGTTATTTTCATTGTTCGGAGTATTTATGTTGCTAAATCATTATATCTCAGCAACTATAAATATGAAAGTTGAAACAGGTTGAAGTTACAAATTTCCTCCAATCTTGACATTTTGAATCACTTCATTTTTCATCCTTACTTCTCCGTCCTTCTTTGAGATATGACAAATTTCCACTGGACTATGAAGACCTGAGGCTATAAAATGAACAAATCCTATTTATCCTTTGTGCAGGATAATCATTTATCTGGTTTCAGATGTTTTTGTTAAATCGGCCACAAGTTATCAGTATCACAATTAAAAATAAAGCCAGTTCAATAAAAACATTCAAAATCAGATGTGCATGATCTAAAGAAAGTTAGCCTTAGTGTATAATCGGTACGCAGAATGAGAATTAAGGGGCATAATTTCATTGGGGCCCAAACGACATGGTCCATGGTGAGATTTGCAGTAGAAAAAAGTCCAGGAAGGCCCATCTTGATGTCAGGTGCAACTTGCTGTATCTTTTATGCATTTGCTGAATGTCGAAATGGGTTTCTCACAAGGCAGTGACGAATTGCCAATTAAGGTAGATTATCACTTGGTTAATGGCACAATCACATATTAATATTGAGATTCCGAACTTACTAAATGTGGCAAACATGCTGGACATTGAGAATTCTTGACATGGAAGTCAGAGTAGGTATGTGGCGTCTGCAACTTGCTCCAAAGGACCTCCATTCACACCCCATGTCCACGGACATTGGCATCCAACACATGCCACATCTTTCGTCTACTCACAATATGCTTCTGCACTTCAATGTTGCATCGCAGGGTACAGCTGCAGCAAGGACACTTTGTGCTCAGGGAGACGTAATCAGCTTACAGACTGGACCAGGCTGCATTCCGGCCTCTTCATTCGCTGTCATAATGTTCACTCACGCTGACTTTACCTGGATGCTCACTGCATCACTTGCCTTACATTGCATTGCCTTGTCTTGCCTTTTTGCGTCTTGCCCCTCAGCTGGAGATGGTATGCTCACATACTGTTGTACTAATGCAGATACAAAACCAGGAAGCTTGTCATAATTGTCAGTAATCCTTGTCAAGTTAAGGGAGATAGCTTTTGCCCAGGAGGTCATGGCACAGAGAGTGAAGGATGGCCTCTGATACCAGTCCAGCTGAGGAGCTGCTCAGGGTCGTTAAAGTCAGGATCTGATTGACATCAGGTGTAAGAAGTGAATGTTGGACAGGCCACTGCCTGTCTTGAATATTTTTGTCCTATTAGGGGCTGCTTTCCTTCTGGAGTGAGAGGCAGGTATTCAAGGAGATGAAATCGGGTGGCACGGCTGTTAGTTTTCATGCAAGTGGTGAAGTGACCTGACTAAGTGAGTAGGTAGCGCAGAGGACAGGCAGGATTACTGGTGTTGAGGATCTGGGTGGGTAATAGCGAGTGAAGGAAAATGTTATGGCGACTGTGAGACTGGTACAGCATGAGCCTTGGTAGGAGGTGGGTACAATAACAGAGATAGGTTGAGTATGGAGTATTGGACAGAAGATGCTGGCACTTATGCCAGAGGAATGGAAAAAGGTAATTGGCCATCTTCCTACACTGTTGGCATTCCTCCACGTGGCAACCTCTGACTAGGCTGGCATGGTCCAGTATTGTGGCCTCTGCTGCTGGTCCTGGGGAACAGGACATCCTGCTTGTGTACCAACTTATCTAGCAGGACCTCCAAGTCCCTTCCTGCAAAGTGGAGCAGCAAATTTCCTGTGTCTGTCATCTCCAGGGCAAGAGTCAAGAGCCGTGCAGAGCAGCTCCGCACTCAGTGCTTTTCCAGGTGTACAACAGTCTTTTAAAGATGGTCCAGCATCAGGGATGCTGGTCAATTCCAGCATATCCCAAGAGTAGCAAGTTGTCCTAGGAACTGTGCATGGTAAAATGTGAATAGATTCAGATGAGGGGGCACCATAGGGGTGGAGTTAGTAGTTCATGAGGTGAGTTTGTTAAGAGAAAATTCACTAGCCAATGCAGCAAAAATCTCTCGAAAAAACTCAACATAAATGACAGCAAAAAAACATAAGTTTGAGCCTAATATATACAGTTTACTTTTTTCTTTACCTATCGACATGAAAGTAAATTTTGTCTTGAGAGTTTCTTGAAAGTTCAGGTGCATTAGGACAAGGTCTTAAAAACGTGCAGATTAATGGCCAATTTGTAAGTATTGATATTAACAATCTTCTGCTAAGTCACCGTTTACTTGATGTAAATGTGGGTTAGTATAGCCATGGAGTGCACACAGAGTGAAAATAGAATGCAGAAGACATGTAAGCAAGATCAGTAAGCTTCACACAGTTAGGACGGACAGATCACATCCAGAGTCAGACACAGCCCATATGCGTATATACTTCGGAAATTTAGAGGCAGCATGGGAATTTGGTGCAGACGGGAAGATTTGATCTCTGCTGGCTTTTTTGGTTCATACTTTGAAAGGCTTTCTTTTAGCAGGATAAACTGAAGTCCAGCATCTCGGACCCAGAACAAAACAGTGGCATCACAGGTAAACCCTAAGTTCATTGGTTGGTGACAACTAATAATTTGATGATCTATTACTTTCAGATTGAAGGTAAATAGGGGAAATATTTACAGGCTACAAACCTACGGGCCAGGCAATGTTTTGTAACTGCATGATGTGGGAGCTGATGGACCCCATTCTTGTTTATAGCGAACACATCTGTAGCAAGTGTTGGTTGCTTAAGGAACTCTGGCTCAGAGTTGATGAACTGGAATCTGAGTTTTGAACACTGCAACATTTTAGGGAGGAGGACAGTTGCGTGGATATTGTGTTTCAGGAGGTAGTCACACTGAAATTAACTACCTTATATTCAGCCAGTGGTTGGGGACAGAAAGGTGTGACAATGAGCGAGGCAGGTGAGGAATCCAGGAGGTTGTGCGGAAGGAGCCTGAGCTCTTTAGCTTGTTTAACAGGTTTGAGATTCTTGCTGCCTGTGTGGATGAGAGTGGGGGCTGTAGGGAGGCTGAGCAAACTGACCATTGAACATGGCACAGGGAGCCATTCAAGTTGGGGAGAAAAGAGAAATGTACTTGTAATCAGAGATAGTGTAGTCAGGGGAATAGACACTGTTCCATGTGAATGGGATCAACAGTCCTGAAGGCTGTGTTGCCTGTCTGGTGCCTGGGTTCAGGATATCTCATCTGGGCTGCAGACGAACTTGGAGTGTGAGGGCAAAGGGCCAGTTGTTGTGGTCCACGTAGGTATTAATGATATAAGCAGAAACAGGGAATAGGTTCAGCTGAGGGAACATGAGCAGATAGGGGCTAAATTACAAGCTGAACCGAGAAGGTAATAATCACTGGATTACTACCTGAGCCACATCAAATTGGCATAGGGTCAGTAAGATTAAGGAGGTAAATGCATGGCTCAAAGGAATGGTGTGGAAGAAGCGGGTTTAAATTCATGGAACTTTGGCACCAGAAATGGGGAAGGAGGGAGCTCTTCCGATGGGACAGATTCCACCTGAATCATGCTAGAACCAGAGTCCTGGCGAACCGCATAAGTAGGGCTGTGGATAGGATTCTAAATTAAACAGTGCCAGGTAGGTTCAGTTGCATGGAAAATTGTGGAAACATTTAAAGGTGGGGAGGGCTCAGCAGAGGTTACCACAATTTCCAGTCTAGTCACAGAAAACCTCAAGTATACTACATCAGCATACTCTCCAGTGACAACTTGGTGAGAATTTAGCTGGGGAAGACAGGCAGGCAGCTGGAGAGACCACCTCCATTGATCACATCTTGACTGGTCAAAGTCTTAGCCACCTTTGTCACTTGCCTCTAAAGTTGTAACATAAGAAAGTCATGCCAATTTGCAGCTTGATATGCACATTGTTTCCACTATTTATACATTAATTGCTAATGCCACTTTGTCAGCAAGCCACTCTATTTAGCACTTACTTGCAGCTCTATGCACACATCACTTTTTTTTATTCATTAACAGGATGAGGGTGTCACTGGCTAGGCAGCATTTATTGCCCATCCCTAATTGCCCAGAGGGCACTTAAGTGTCAACCACATTGCTGTGGGTCTGGAGTCACATGTAGGCCAGATCAGGTAAGGATGGCAGCTTCCCTCCCTAAAGGACATTTGGTTACGCGATCAAGGTCTTCAGCGATTTGGCAACTTCAGTGACATGTGAGGTGTAATACATCTTTCCAGAAGGAGACTCCTTCAAACAGTTTCAATAAGTTGACTGATTTCATCTACGATTATCTAGAGGGGACCATTTGGCACTTTACTGATTGTTGAAAAATAATCTGCAGCTACGTGAATGAATTTGTAACTCACCTCTTGATCTGGAGGTCAAAGTTGATGCTGGCATCTGCTGTCTCCAAGCGCTGAACAGAAAAACGGAGCCCCACAGACAGCTGGCAAAGAAATGGATCAAAGCATTAACCATCAACAGATGCTGGAGTTACAGTATGGAATTCTAACTGGGGAAAACAGTTATCGGCTATAGCACCAACGACAATAAATCTTAACGTGAATTTTACTTCAGTGTGCACTGAACCTATTAATTCATACAGATGAAGAAACTTATCATCCTTGTTTACATCATTTTTAGCTGTTTTTCCTGCTCCTACTAAAATTTTATAAATCATTATTCAACAGCAGATTAAAATACCTCGAAAGATTTTATATATCAAAAATACATTACGGGATCCTATGCATTATCTGCAAGTCCAGTGACATTTTCCGTCTGCACGAACAGACACAAGAGAGTAGATTTTACAAAGTTTAACACCTGGTATAAAACTTTGCCAACTAAGTGTGAAGCTAAGGAATCCAAGTACAGAGGCAGCTTCAAAGACTGGCCAGGATTTCTATTATTCACTCAGACATTGTGGGTGTTGCTGGCTGGGCCAACATTTATTGCCTGTCCCTAGTTGCCCTTTAGAAAATGGTGGTGAGCTGCCTCTTGAACTGCTACAATCCTTATGCTGTAGGTAGATCCGAAGTGTCATTAGGGGGTGAGTTTGAGAATTTTGACTCAGCGACACCGAAAGAACAGCCATATACTTCCATGTCTGGAAATTAAGTGGTTTGGAGGGGAACATAGTGGTGTTCCCATGTATTTGTCCTTCGAGATGCAAGTGGGTTTAGAAGGTGTTGTCAAGTGCAGCTCCTGAGCATCAGTGGTAAATGGAGTGGATGCTTGTCGATGTGGTGCCACTAAGCAGGCTGCTTTGTCCTGAATGACGTCAAGCTTCAAGCAACACAGATGTCCAAAGTGAGTAAGAAGGCCTATGGCATGCTTGCCTTCAATGGCTGGGACATGGAGTACAAGAGTTGGCAAAACATGTTGCAGCGATATAAAACTCTTGTTAGGCCGCATTTGGAGTATTATGTGCAGTTTTGGTCACCACATTACCAGAAGGATGTCAAAGCTTTGGAGATAGTGCAGAGAAGGTTCACCAGGATGTTGCTTGGTCTCGAGCGCATTAGTTATAAGGAAAGGTTAAAAAGACTAGGATTGTTTTCACTGGAAAGACGGTGGCTGAGAGGGGACCTGATAAAGGTTTAAAAATTATGAGAGGCTTAGATTGGGTGGATAATCAGAGGCTTTTTCCCAGGGTTGAAGTTTCAATTACAAGGGGGCATAGATTCAAGATGAGAAGGGGAAAGTTTAAGGGAGATGGGCGAGGAAAGTTTTTCACACAGAATGATAGGAACCTGGAATGCAGTGCCAGAAGAGGTAATGGAAGCAGGCACGTTGGTACATTTAAGGGGCATCTGGATGGTTACATGAATAGAGAGGAAATAGGGGGATACAGACCGAATAAGGGCAGAACGTTTGTTTATTAGTTTAGTCAGGGCATGATGATCAGCACAGGCTTGGAGGGCTGAAGGGCCTGTTCCTGTGCTGTACTTCTCTGTTGTTTGCTCCTTGTTTTTGAGTGTTGTTGGAACAATGCTCATCCAGGCAAGTGGACAGTACTCCATTACAATCCTGACTTGTGCCTTGCAGATAGTGGATAGGCTTTGCAGACTCAGGAGGCAAGTTACTTACTGCAGTATTCCTAGCTTCTGACCTGCTCTTGCAGCCACAGTACTTATATGACTAGTCAAATTCAGTTCAGGTCAATGGTAACCCCCAGGATGAAACATCTTGTGAGCCTGCTGAATTTTGTGTCCAAATTCCTAGCACACATGCTTGATGGATGAGCTTATAAAATCAAAGATTCTGCCTCTACTTAGAATTTGGTAGAGCCTACAGCACAGAAACAGGCCATGTGGCACTACTGCTTTATGCCAGTGCTTCTTCTATATGAACATCCTTCCACTCTCTTCATCAAACCTTACCACAATCCTTCTATTCTTTCTTCCCTGTTGTGTGTCCCCAGATTTCCCTTACATACATCTATGTGACATCTACCTACTCAACTTTGTGATACAGTATTTCATTTTCTTATCACTCTTTGGTTAATGATTGTTTTCCTGAATTCTCCATCAGATTTATTAGTGACTATCTTTGGCCTCTTGAACAAGTGGAAACATTTATGTTACAATTACCTAATTATTCTTCAAGGCCTTAGAGACTCCAATCATAATTATTTAACCTTCTGCTTTCTACAGAAACATACCCCAGATGTTCAGCCTTTACTTATAATGTACATTCTCTCAGTTCTGTACCATCCTTTTGTATCTGTGTTGCACTTTCTCTGGCACCTATACATTTCTTTTATTATTTGGACACAAGACTGCACACAGCACAAGTTAGTTGACAATTTTCTGCTTTTCAGTTTGATTTCTTTAATACACCTTAGTTTGGTTCCTTTACTGTCTTATCGTTACTATTTTTAATAATTTATCTTTCCGTACCCTTTGTTCCTCTACCCCATTGTTGCAGTGTTTCTCCGACTTGTGTCTTATGCCCAACTTGGCGCTGCCTGTAAATCTTGACTTTGGACTCAGAACCATGAGTTGTAAATGAAAAACAAAAATGGGCCTACCCATTCTCAGCCTGTGAGAGTATTTACCTTTAACACCTAATTTGTTTTCTGCTCTGTGGCCAACTTGCTATCCATTCTGTGACTTGTCTGTTCACTCTACATGTACTAGCATTAATTATGAGTCATCTTTCAGGGCCTTGTCAAAGGCTATATAATATTCAAACACATTATTTATTTTGTTTATTACTTTTCAAATATTTCAATAAGATCAAATGTGAACTTTTTAGAATTTATTTTGACAACATTTTGAAATATTATTGTTTTTTAGTTGTTTCTCTATTACAGTTTTCAGTAATGATTCAATATCTTACCTACTATTGTTTGGTCTCTATTTCCTGACTTGTCCTATGTCCCCTTTAAATATAGGAACAACATTGGCTGTCAATTTCCCAGCCATATTTCTGCAATTTCCAAGTTGTTACCTGTAAGTCTATCTCATGGAAGTCTTCACCTTCCCCTGATGTTGCGTTTGTAATTTCTACAATTTTTTATATCCTTTTTTTATAATTTAATCTTGGTTCTCCTCTTTGCTTTTCAAATTGTTTGTGATTTCCTTCTTCCTGTACCTGGCCTCTTCTGTCAGTTGATATATATGTATGCATTATATGCAAAACGATTTTTTTCTTCAGTTTAAGTTTTGTTCTTGTTGGTTTCATTATTTATGTTGTTTCATCATAGACTTGTTTGTTCATGGTTTTAGTTTATTTTATTAAAATAAAACCATGAACGAACAAGTCCATAATGAAGCAATGAACAATACATTTCTCCTGATTTCTACTGATCATCAGCTGTCCTTGCTCAGCAATGTGAAATGTTTTGCTGTTTTGTCTCTCCCAATTTCAGTTCATCCCCCTCAAAATTAGCTTTATTTGCTGCAATGTACTTTGCTGTTCTTTGTCTTATTTTTCTGTTCCTGTTTCGTTACTCAAAACTTATTACATTATGATTGCTATTGCCTATTTCTAGAAATTACTTCTCTTATCTGTCTGGTTCCATTCCAATGAGTTGAAACGGCATTGATTCTTCTCTGGTTGAACTTCTTATTTAGCAGGAAAGAAAGGAGCTCTAAAGACACTTTAAAAATTCCCTATTCATGCCCTTTTGCCAGTCTCTGTGAACGAAAATTATCCATGATTATTATTCTGTAACTTTTACAAATTTCATTGATTTGTCTATGTATTTCTTTCTCCACCTTCCTCCTTTCATAAATGAAAATAAATTTTGGAGGTACTTTACCTGTGGGTTTTCAATGATAAACATCTGCACCATTGGTAAGAGATGATGTAACCATTAAGTACTATGAGTTGTTAAATGAAGAACAGTTTTGAATCGCATAAAGTAAAATTTTGATGTATGACACACTTACTTTATATAAAAGCAGAAGATACAAGCTACTAGGTGCAGAGCTGGATGAACACAGCAGGTCAAGCAGCATCATAGGAGCAGAAATACAGGAGATATCATGATGATATATCTGGCTGCTGAAACTATTCATGATGCTGGATAGAATAACTGTCGGTGGCTGGGAATGACTCTCAGGCAGTCATTTCAATGAAGGATTAAGAAAATTCCATAATCTTTGAAACCAAAACACTAGCTATTACCAGTGGTTTCAGTTTTTAACTTGTTTCCAATAAAATGACGTGGATAGGCTGGTAAATTCCTGCCAGATGTTCTCACTCAGCTGGCACTACTTCACCAGACATGACATGGAAACTCCATTTATGCACGTAAACGTGATTCCTACTGCACTTACCACAAAGCATGTTTGTGGAATTTACTGACCATAAAGTCCTCTTAATGCTTTTCAGATTGGTAGTGTGCCCCTAGGGTAGATTTTGTGAATTTACCTTGCCATACAGAGCTTTAAAGGGAAGGCATGTTGGAAATTTGGACATCGATTGATTGAAATTTCCTTAAACTGCTCCTGTTTATTGATTTTCCTGTTTCAGAATGGGAGCAGCTCTCAGGAAATTTGAGGTGGTAACGTGTTAGACAAAGTAGAGTCAGTGGACTGGATATATTTGAATTTCCAAAAGGCCTTTGACAAGGTGACGCACAGGAGGTTGCTAAATAACATAACAGCCAACGGTGTTTGAGGCAAGGCACTGGCCAGGATAAAGGGTTGGCTGACTGGCAGAAGGCAGAGAGTAGGAATGACAGAATCTTTTCAGAATGGCAGCCAGTGACTAGTAGGGTTCTGCAGGGGTCCAAGTTGGGGCCACAACTATTCATATTATAGATTAATCATCTGGATGGAAGAACTGAAAGCATTGTTGCTAAGTTTGCAAATGACTCAAAGATCGGTGGAGGGACAGGTAGTGTTGATTAAGCCAGCAAACTGCAGAAGGACTTGGACAGAGCAGCTGAGTGGGCAAGGAAGTGGCAGATTGAATACAATGTGGGAAAATGTG